TTCCTATTTTCCCTTCCTCCTCTTGATGCCAGTCCGAGTCTGTTAAGCAGTTACAATCTCTGTAAGGTGTGCTTTAATTTGCACTGTGGTTTATTATCTGTGATGATTCATTTAAACTGTCTGATGGTGAGCATGGCCGATATAATTGCTTTGAGAAGTCTGCTTTGGGTCAGGCTTATTCTGTGTTGGGCAGGTGCTTGATGTCCAGTTTGATTCTTGGCTGGGTTGGAACTGGGGGTGATGGAGATGTGTTTGTCGGTGACATGTCTCTAGGAAGCAGTTAGGGTATAGCTGCGTGTGTGCCCCTTCCTTTTCTCGCTTGTCTCTGTTGAGGTAGGGGCCTGCTTTCTTGTGTCCCCGGGTGGGAATTACACATGTGTAGGTTTTTGGATCCAGGTGCCTGAACACATTATGCTTGTTGCTGCTCGTGGTGGTGCAGGAGGTTGCAGCAGAGATGGGCTTTCGCTTCTTATAGGTGAAAGGGATTTCTACTGCCTGCCTCTTAGTCATATATTCACTCTCACTGTTCTGTTTCAGTCTTCCCTGTTCCCTTTGCAGTATTCCCCTTATTCTAAGACCCAGGGTGTAACATGGCTCTTCTGGAGTGGTTTTCCTATGTGGAAACATGGGTCAACTGTTCATATTTTCATTTTGTATGCAGAGTTCTGTTTTCACAACTTCTGATTGCTGGTCAGTTTTTGACATATGATGGTGTAGATGATGAATTAATTTTTGACTGAGTTGAATTAAAATTTTATTAACTTCTCCCCTGCCTGTGTCAGAAAGAAGGGGGAAGGCTGATGCTAAAATGCAAAAGAGGGTCTCTTTGCTCAGTGTGATTTTTCACTAGACTTGCTTCTCAGTCAAGGTTCATAATTCGGGTGAACCACAGAGGCTGGTAGAGATCTATCAGCAGCAATCATGATAAAATTTTCAATGTGCTTTGTACTGTACAAAGATCTAATTTGAGATGCCTGTAACCCAGTAATTGCACTAATTGTGAACTCAGTGATGCAAGAGGGTATGCTTGTGTATCTTAAAAAAGCACATCTGTACACTGCTCTGTGGAGAAGGAAGCGCAGCGAGGATCACTGACTTCCAGTTATTTTCGGCATTTAGGCCTGAAGGTGCAGAGAGTGCTTATTTGAAGTATTTATGGTAGATGAAACCATTAGTGTCAATAACTCACAGTAACAGAATTATTTGGTTAGCTGAAGGTCATTAATTCCCAGTGGTAGTAGTTCTGGTCCCCAAATAGCGCTATGCATTTTTCCTTTGTTCTCCATTCATCTCTAAATAAGCTGTGTGCAGTGGGTTAGTCCTGCCCAGTTTCGTATCCTTCAGGACTGAATTTTCAACTGGAGGAACTTGTGTGCATGGCAAACTGTAGACACTTGCTCTCTGGATCTGCACTTTAGCAATGGAAAGGCTATACTGCCCAAAGTTTTGAGCCGTGTGACCGTCCTTTTCAGAATAACCAGAGAACCTCTGTTCTCTGTGTTCAGTGTGAATTTGTTGACTTGCGTTCCAAAGATCAATTTTGCTTTGCAGGGTAGTGTAGCAATTGTGTTGAAAGCCCTTGTGCCTGAAGAATTATCACAGGCATATGCAGAATATTGTACCTGTCCTTTAAAAATTACCTTGAATGCCTTGGAAGTGCCAAATACAGAAACCAAGGAAGTTGGCTTGCCCTGTGCTGGAAGGAAAGCAAATAACCAGTAAGAGGTGTAAGTGGCTTTGTGTAAGAGAAGAGTGTAGGTATTGCTGGCTGCCAGAGCTGGCACACACCTGCTTTCCTCAGTATCTCCTGTTGGTATGGCTGGACCAGCATCTATCACAAACGGCGGTGTTGGCTCCTGGCAGTGCACTTTCTGTCGCTTGGCTTCTGCTCTTGTGAATCGGGATGAGCTGGAGCCTGTGATAAAGAGAAAACAGAACCAATTGTTCTTTAACTTGTTGGGGTTCAGGCAGCTTCTTTTTTTTTTTTTTTTTTTTTTTTTTTTTTTTTTTTTTTTTGTTTAGTAAATTGAGCTTGAGTGGGTTATGTAGCAGCAGTTGTAGAAATACTACATTTAATGCCACAGTCAGTTCTGCCTATAACCTTGATTACCGATGCATTGGTCTCCTTCCCCGCCCTAGATCTCATACTATTTTATTTCCTTTCCTTTGGCTTGCCTCTTTCAGTGAATAGCACAAAGAGTAAAGCAACATATAGGCTTGCTTTTCTAGTAATAGTAACAAGCAACAAAGCAACATTTAAACTTGTTTAATATACATACAAACGTATATTTATTTTAAATTCTGTCCCTGCAGATGGAGGAGAAAAGCTGTTGTTAAGTAGGTGGGGGGTTTTTAAACTTTGAAAGTCGATGGATGACGTTAAAAGTCAAGACGTGATTGTTAGTTGGCTTGTATATAACTGAGTCTGATGTGTTTCTGGTTGCTCGAGATCTAAGGATAATTTGGATGGGAGAGATGCAGTTCGAGATGCTATCTGAAACCGTTTCAAATCCTTTGCAAAAAATATTGGGGCAATATGACTGTCAAAGTATGTTAAGGAAAGATAATTTTTGCCTGAATGTCTTACAGATGCAAATGAGTAAGTAGGAAAAAAATAGGAAGCTGCTTTGAATAATAAATTACACCACTCCCATATGTTCATCACTTGCTAGCTATTCTTTTATCTCTGATGCCAGTCTGTAATGTTTCCATTAACTTTATTGTTATGGGAAAATTTGATCTGCACATCCACAAGTTTCAATGTGTCATTTATTCTTTGTTATTTATGCTAGAGGTGATAAATAAATGCAATTGTTACTGTATTGGCCTTTTTTCATCTCTTTGAAAGTTGTTGGTGTGGAGTATTGGGGTTGCTTAAAATTAGTAGAGTGAAGCTGATCTTAATACTTGCCCAGATCTTGACATACGCAACACTCTTGTGTTGTCAAGGTATTACTTGGTCAGTTGTTAATTCAGGGGACCAAAATATGTTTTACATAGCTTGCTTGCTTTTGTGGGAAAGCGTATGCTGACATTGCTGCTGCCTTTGGTTAGCGTGAGAATTTCTTATTCTTACTAGCCTTCATTTGAGTTCTAAAACCTAAACTATGAATGACTAAATAAAACATATTCATCTGCCAAATAAATTTCCTTTTGGCATTTGTATTGAGATTTCTTCATAGATATGCTATGGTTATTAATTAAAAAAATTATAATAGAAGTCTTTCCTGTATGTGCCAAAAGCACGGTATCTGTTACTAACTTGTGGAAGAAAAGGTGATGCATAACATAACATGAAAAACGGTTACAAAAGATGTTCATGGTTATTTCCTCTTTGCAGAGTAGATTACTGAGTGCTATTTATACACGTAAAAAAGCAGTGGCTGAACCATTCAAGTCAGTGAGCTATTGTAGCTGTCCATGATACTTATTTACAGACTGTTTTTTTTAATTTAATTTTTTATTTTTTTTTTTAAAGCTTGCTGATATTAGAGGTCATAGTGGGAAGTGAGGTGACATCCCCCCACCCCACCTTGAAGTGCTTCTATTAATTTGCTTAGTGACCTTAAGAAAATTACTCAGTTTTTTATGCTCGTTTTAGGAATGTGTTACAATAGGACTAAATCTTGATGACTTGAAATTGTGTAGACTTCATGTGTTTGTTTAAGATGCTTTGGAAAGGTTTGTAAACATTATTAGAGCTGGAAGCTCTTCAAATTGTTTCTTTATTCCAAATCATACAGAGAAACTAGGGTATCTTCTCCAGCGGTATTTATTATCAGTTGGGATTTTGTGGACTTTGCTGGAGGTTGTTTTGGTTTTTGTTTTATTTTGTTTTCATTCATCATTGATGTGAAATGGAAACCTGGCACAAAATACTGCCCTTTTTTAGCTCGGTTTCAAGGCTTAACAAAAATGTACTACGTGCAGTTGATTGATTTTTTTTTTTTCATTTTTTTAACTATAAATTCCCACAAAGAGTAACTTTCTTCGCAAGGAATATGTAGTTCTTCAAGCTAAAAGCCTTTTTCTGAATTTCAGTATTTTCAGAATAAAACTTTGTCCTGCTGACCTTTTTTGTAAAAATAAGATGTGTTCTTACACTGTGGTTACTCACACCTGTATGCAGCTGTGAAACCGTGCTTCAGACAGCCTTATCTTGAGGGTTATACACTTCCGTTTAGGCTCTTTAACTTGAATATTTGTAAATCTGGTAAATGAAAGACATGAAGAAAAAAAATAAGTCACTGATTCATACTGCTTAAATTGAATTGAAATGTCAAGCTGATGATGTGGAATTACATTAAAGTAGTTCAGTTTTTCAAATGAAGTAGGTGGGTTTTGCTCCTGGAAAAATTTCCAAGATTTTCACCTTGGTCAACTGGTAGATGTTATTAAAGCACGGTAGTATTTTGCTTCTAATACACCTCAGCAGTTGGGTGATGATGAGACACTCTAGAATTAGACTTAATGGTAGTTTTCTAATCCATTTGGGCTTTATTAATAAATATAGCAGGGTCTTGAGTTTATTTATACTCAAGAAACCCATAAAAGAACTATGAAGCTATTAAATGGGGACAATGTGGAACCTTAGCTTGGTTTAGCAGTAATGCATGCAAGCAGCACTCGTGGTTTGATTTAATTTCACTGACATAACTCTGCATCATCTAGAGTAAATAGGTGGAAAACCAAAGGTAAAGTAGAAATTGGAAGGAAGGTTTTCTGTAGAAGTGTTGTGTAACTGAGCACTGACAGAGGTGGTGTGGTTCTGACCTGGAGTTTCTACCTGTATTGCTGTGGGCACTTCAGTGTTTGTCTGAAGTTTCTTCAGAGTGTGTTCTCTGAAGCTGCAGTGCAGTATCATCTTTGCATGATGGACTTAGTGTTGGTGTGAGATTGGATTCTTCTGGTCCAAATGCAAACTGCTATATATTAACAGCCATTTATCTTTCTTCCTTTTTGAGGAGTGGCATATCCAAAAAGTGGATGTTGAGGATAACATGTCCAATGTGTCGGAAGAGAGAAGCACTAGACAACAGGACATTAAGAAAGGACTTCAGTTTATAGAGTATGATTTTTGTGGTGTTTTTTTTTTTCTTTTATCTTGTATGCTTATACTTGTATGTATATGAGATGGATAGCTCTGGGAAAGTCCTTTCAATATAGCACCAGCGGAGGAAGGAGGATGACCTGTGTTTCTCCTCAGAATATTTGCTAATACTATCATGGAAATGGGGAGCAGTCTTGAAGCAGAGACAGAACCCCTCTTTGTTACCAAACAGAGCAGATTGAAGGTGGGAGGGTATTCCTTTTCTGTCTTTGAGAAAAATCGGCATTGGATTTTTGTGGTGGGTGGAAAATGTTGATAGCTTGAAAATCCACCTTACGTTTATGGGCAGCTACACCTAAGATTAGGTTGCACTGAAAAAGGTTGGGTTTACTCACTATGTCCTAAATGTTTCAGTTCTCTGGAACTAAAATTTAACCTAATGAAAAATCATCTAAGTAGTTAATTTTTATTTGGATCAATGCCAAATTCTTCTCTAAAAGATGCTAGCTGGCTTAAAATCACTGTGAAACTTCACACTAGTTCACTGCTCGCATAAGGCATTCTTTAAAAAAAAAAAAAAGGAGAAAAAAAAGGGGGGGAGGGAAGGAAAGCTGACCTTTTAAAAATTATTTAGAAACAGATTCTCAGATAACCTATATGGGAGGGGAAAGGGTTCCTACTTTTCTTCCTGAAAAGTTAGAAATAAATACCTCTGTTCTGTGCTAGAGAAAGTCTCTGTTGTGTCGTACAAAAGAACTCTTAAAATGCCTGTAGTCATTGCTATGACTTAATTAGAATTGATGTTCTTTTGACATACAATTTGTCATTTTATAATACTTAGAAGAAGATTGCAGTTCTCCTCATGTATGATCTGTTTCTGCACAGTGGAGGAGAGGAAGGAAATTGTTTTTAAGCAAACAACATTGAGGCCTTACACTCAAAAGCGTTCGAAACCTTAATACATTTTGAACAGCAGAGTTAAGACTGGCTATATAACTGTAAGTGAAAGTGAGTCATTGGTAATAAGAAAACACGGTTCTTTCATCAAAACTAATCTACAGCCCTCCTGCCTTGTTCAGTGCAGGCAATAGACAATATTTGGAGATGTGCCTCTTGCAGCAAGTGAGACTGCTTTTAGTAAGAACCAGCATTCTCCAATGTGATTGTCTTTTAAGCAAGATGTATAATAAGTAAATTTTGTAATTTCTTTTTCTAGATCTACTTTGCCCTATCCAGGGACACAAGAACAATATGAGGTAATGAAAATTACTTTTGCATTTCCAGAAGGGTTTTTAACGTGGACCTATCTTATTATATTTATTCTTGTTTTTGCTCATTTCAGTAATGATATAGTATACGTGGTAATTTAAAATGTCTCAATATTGGAACTGAAGGACTTAGATTGTGATACAGGTGTTCAGATGTTTGGATCCCTGGAATTCACTCATATGGCAGTTCAGATTAACTCTTTCTCTACTGGTGTTAGAGATGAATTTGGGGCATTCATTGGATAAAACAATGTGCTATTCTGAGTGAAGTTTAGAGTAGCACAGCAAAAGTGAGAAAAAAGGACCTGTCACATAAATCTTCATAACGTATTTTGTTTCTGTACATGTTATTATTTTGCATAAGTTTTGACTTATATTTTCAGACACATCTTTTTAGCATTTTTATCCAATGGTAGGTGCTTTCATTGGATTTGAGAACATATCATAAAAATGCAGTTGTTCATGTTTTAAATTTTAAAAAAAAAATCTTTTGCTCTGCAAAAGCAGCATTTGTGTACTGCTGGTTTGCCCATTGCTATCACTGCTGCTTGCTAAAACAATGTGTGGAACATATATATGTATATATGTGTCTTTTTAAAGATACTTTTTCAGTAATTCTTTTATCAGCATTTCATACTCTTTTATTTGCATGTATTATGGTGTTGAATATTAGAGATTGTCTTGGAAAAATGTCAGAAGAAAAATACCAATATGGACAAAAGTTCTGCGTTTCATTTTGATTCTGTGAGGTTAGAAGTATAAAATTTGTATTTAATAATGTATTTGAAAATATGGAAGATAAACAACAAAACTGCTGTTGATGAGTGTTTCTTTCCTTCGTTGCAGTTATTTATACGAGAGCTTGTTAGAAATCTTTTTAATGAAGGGAATGATGTATATCGAGAAGGTGACTGGAGAGGATCACTGAGTCACTATACAGAAGCTATAAACATAGCTGATTATGCTAATTCTGAAGAAATCCATGTTTCTGATGATATTTTAGAGAAGCTTCACGTGAACAGGATAGCATGTTTTTCAAATATGGTAAGCTTCTGTTTAAACTTTGTGATTTCTCCAGAACAATGTGCTAACAGAGTATGAAGACATGGAAAGTTTCCTAGTCAGTGAAAAGCTCTTGGTGTTCATTTGAGAATTGGCATGTTTCAAATCATCATTTTGGAATATTCTTTAATATATTCTTTTTATAAGTATAATAATCAAGATATTTTTAGTTACTAATGCTAGAAAATTAACATAAAAGAGTCATACTACACTTGGAAGTTGCTGGAACAGTATTTTTATCCATTTTTACTGATGGTTGCATCCGAGTCTGTTGCTTTCTCTGTGGAATAAGATGGCTTTTGTGAAAGAGCTAAATTGTCTTCATAACTATTATTGGATTGTACATGAATGATGGCCCTGCTTGGTTTTAGTTGCGTAAATTGGTGACTTAGTAAAACTCATACATGCGGTGGGCAATGGCCTTGGTGAGTGTTCTATAGTGTTTCAATACCTACATCTAATACAGTTTAAATTCGGTATTTCAATGACAATAGTTCTGATTAGTTCTTTTTTTTCTTTTTTTTCTCCGTGTAG